TTAGGCGTATATAGGAATGGGGTCCTAAAAAAAGTAAGGATTTATACCGAAAATATTTAGTTGGTGTTTTTTTTCCAATTTGGTACAACTATAGAATGTAATATTGGCTCTTATCTGCTTTTTTTTAGCAAATGTACTCTTCAAATGCTCTGCCTATAATGAATTGACTAATTGAAGTGTGAATAAAAAGTCTAGACGTGATGACTTACATGTCTGCTACTGCATGCGGACAATAATGGGATATCATCAAACAACAGGCGGCGCCCTTCACAATTAACGGTGTGAAGAGTGACACTCTCATAACCCGTAAATTCTCGGTCGCATTAATTCCTTCCTAACGAAACCATTTCCCAATTCCTAAGCAAACAGAAAAACGGATTACGAAACCCACTTCCCTAATTCCTAAGCAAAAAGAAAAATGGATAACGAAACCAATTCCTATTTCCTAAGCAAAAAGAAAAACGGATAACGGACTTCGAATCCAAAATCCATTCTCGACAGCAAAACGGATAACGAATAACGATTCCCCCCCCCCCCCCCCCCCCACTTCCTATCGAGAAAGGAATTGGGATTTCTCAATGCATGATGGGAAAATTCGGACTTCGAAACTTTTTCGCAACCTTGTCCCCAGGGTTAACTTTATGTCGTAACTTTCTTTCCTGTATTAAGTACCTGTCAGTGCGTACCGCTCAACACTACGTAAACGAGATTGTATTTGACACCGTTAATTGTGAAGAGCGCCACCTGTTGTTTGGTTTTCCCGATAATGTATGTGGCGGTAGGCTAGGCCTGTGCACCAAGCATGTTTTGTCAGTAGCCCAGGTTGGACGAAGTCTTCATTGCAATACGACTAACGTATCTGTATCTGTAGCGTACTGCAAGCAAACTCCACTATGGGATATACGGTTGCAGGCGCGTGGTGGCTAGCAGCATCCCTAAACAATTTTGTTAGTAGGCCCCCTTAGTGTTGAAGACAACTGCATCTCATGGAGTCTTGACTTAAAGGACTCCACTGAAGTAGCTTCCCTGACTTCTGGAGGAAGTAGGTTCCACTGAGCTGTTGTTCTTGGTACGAAAGAGTATCTGTAGCAGTCCTTCTTAGATGTAGGGTGAACAAAGGATAATGAAGATGATTTTCTAGTTGACATTTTGTCCCGTTTGGAATCAACTTGGTACTGATCAACATCAATTGCGATTTTGTGGTGAATGGATTTGTAGAGCAAGGTTAGTCTGGATATGATTCTGCGTTCCTCCAATGATTTCCATCCGAGGTGGGTGATCATGGATGAGACACTACTTGTGCGCCTGAAGTCCTTACAGACGAACCGGGCCGCTCTGCGTTGGACAGCTTCAAGTTTATTTTTGTGGTCCTGATGGTATGGATCCCATATGCTGGCGCAATATTCTAACTTGGGTCTGACCAGGGTCTTATATGCAGTTTCTTTAACTTTGGTGGAGCAGCTGAACAGATTCCTGCGCAACAGTCCAAGAACTTTGTTTGCTTTAGTAGTAGAGTTACTTATGTGTTCGGCCCAGTTCAGTTTGTTGTTTAATTCTACTCCCAGGTAGGTGTGATTTGTGACTGTTTGGAGAGAATTGCCGTTTATCTTGTAAGATGACAGAAGAGGTTTCCTTTTGTGGGTCATGTGCATGGCGTAACATTTGGTGACGTTAAATCGCATCTGCCACTTGGACTCCCAGTTACAAAGGGTATCGATGTCGTTTTGTAGTTTCTTGTTGTCTTCTGGAGTTTGAACTTCACGGTATAATATGCAGTCATCTGCCAGAAGTCTCACTTGAGATGAGATTCCTTCCGGAAGGTCGTTGAGATACAAGATGAAGAGTAGCGGTCCAAGCACAGTGCCCTGGGGCACTCCTGATGTCACAGCTATTGAACTAGATGAACTGCCCTCTAAGACTACTTGTTGAGATCTTTTTGTAAGGAAAGTGTTGATCCAGTGGAGTAGAGAGCCAGAGATCCCAACATGTTTCAGCTTTGACAATAATCTCTGATGTGGAACTAGGTCAAACGCTTTGCTGAAATCCATGATGATTACATCGGCTTGCCCTTGGTTATCTAGGATTTTAGCGAGGTCGTTTACGGTCAGGGTGAGTTGGGTTTCACACGATCGGCCTTTGCGGAACCCATGCTGTTCATTGTTGAGAACGTTGTACTGATCAAGGTGACACATGATGTTAGAGTGGATAATATGTTCAAGCAACTTGCAAGGGATGGATGTCAGTGAAATTGGCCTGTAATTTGATGGATCTGAACGGTTTCCTTTTTTGAAGATAGGTGAGACGTTAGCCCTGAGCCAGTCGTCTGGCAGCTCCCCGGTATCAATGGATTTCTGGAAAATTTGTTGTAGGAGTGGAGCAACACTGTCAGCACATTCCTTCAGGATCGTTGGAAGGATGCCATCAGGGCCTGGTGCTTTCTGTGGTTTTAACTCTTTCAACAGCTTTTTGATGCCCGCAGTTGTGATGGTAATAGAAGACATTTGTTGAAACTTCGGACTGTCAAGGTTTGGGATGTTGTCACAGTTTTCCTTAGTAAAGATAGACTGAAAATGACTGTTTAAGGCATTTGCTTTGTCAATGGGTGTTGTAGCAATACCATTAGCAGTGTTGAGTGTTGAGACACCAGTTGAGCTTTGCCTGAGACTTTTAATGTATCTCCAAAAGGGCTTGGTGTTGTTTGATGTCAAGTTTTCACCTAAATCCAGCAGATGTTCACTACGAGATTTTCTTAAAGTACGGTCTAAGAGGCGGCGCAGCTGTCTGAAGATTTCCCAGTCAGAGGTAGCACCCGTACTTCTGGCTTTATCATAGGCTTTACGCTTACGTCTCATGATGCGTTTGTGCGACTGCTTGAACCAAGGAAGACTGCTGTTGGTACTTGTCATCTTAGTGGGTATGTGTCTTTCCATTGCAGTTGTTAGTGCGTGTTTGAATCCCATCCAGAGTGTGTCTGTAGACTGGGCGGAATAAACTTCTTTGGAGATGGAGTCGGCATATTCATTAATGTCCTCTTTGATTTTATCAAAGTTTCCCTTCTTGAACAAGAATATCTTCCTACGTGGTTGCCTGATTCTTTTGGAAGAAGTAAGAATCTCCACAGACACGATATCGTGGTCGGATATACCAGGCAGGATGTTGACATTCTGGACGAGTGAGGGAATGTTTGTGAAGACCAGATCTAAAATGTTATCTTCCCTAGTAGGGCTAGTCACAACCTGATGCAGATTATGATCTTGAGCGATGTCGATCATTTGCTTGCTAAGGGCTGGGTATCGACCCCCGGGAGTGAAATAAGTTTTCTCCCAATCCACGTCAGGGAGGTTGAAATCTCCAGCTAAGATAATTTGGCAGTTGTTGGTGAGTTTTGAAATAGCAGCATCTAGTTCCTTTAAGTAGACCTGGTTGGTTGCGGTAGATCCAAAATGGCGTCTATAAAAGGCGCCGAGGTATAAGGTAGGGTTGCCCTTGATGTGGATACTGGCCCATACAGATTCACAGTTTGTGTTCAGATCAGGTTCTTCTTTAGCCATAAGATTGGATTTAATGGCCAAGAAAACACCACCGCCGGAGGTATCGGTTTGTCGATCATTTCGAAAAATCTGGTATGATGAGGGCAGGAATTCGCTGGAGTAGACTGAGTCGTGCAACCAAGTCTCTGTTCCTGCGATTACATCCGGGTCTTCAGTTTCTAGCATTGCTTGGAATTGAGGTATTTTATTACAAATGCTTTGAAAATTTATGTTCAGTACTTTAAGCAGTTTCTTGCGTTGATTACGATGGCCAGGTTTTTGGTGATTCTTTGGCATGTTTGGTTTGAAGTTTTGTTGCTTTGGGCTGGAGGAGTGTATCGGGCTACCAATGCCCTGTACATGTTCGGGGGCAATACCGTTACCACTCCCATTCGTAGTCACGGTGTTAATCAAGTCACTGAGAATATCAAAGGGGTTTGACACATTCAAAGGGGTTTGACACATAGGGAGGAAAGGGAGTCCACCAGCAGGGCTAGTTTTGTCAGGTAAGCCTGGACTATTTACTTGTCAAAATTCAACTTCCTTTCGGCGTACTGGAAAGATTCCCATATCTGGACATTACTCATTTTCTCCCTTTAGTGATTTATGCCACAATTCCGGTTTAAAATGTCCAAAAATATTGGATTTAGCAGGGAAATTTGTTACCTAAAAACTATCGTCGGCTTATCGCGGCATCCCTTTATCGCGGCATGGCCAATTTCTCATTTTGTGTTGACTAAACTCCTTTAAGTGGCGATTTTTATCCAGGTCCTCCAGGCCATAAGGACTTACTGCCGAGTCGTATTTAAAAAAGGACGATTAAAAAATGTTGTGTTTTTCGGGACTTTTAACGATTTTTAATAAATATTCACATTTTCCAAAACCTGCAAATTTTCCCTCACCGTGTCTGTTAAAACTAAAAGGTACCGTCTATATTTTAACATAAACCATTAATGGTGCTCTGTCCATGGAAGTTCCATTGTCTGGTTCCCCTTCTACAGCTGCAAACACAAAATGAAGTCGTAGGACGATATTTCCACCGCGAAATCGTAAAAACTTTTACGGGATCAAAATAAGGACAGCGCGTAAAAAAATAAAACGGCACACCGTGTAAACTGAATGGCGCCCCCAATCGCCAATCACTAGAATTGTCACAGTAATTTTTCTTCTCCTTTCGGGGAAGGGCAGGGTTTTAAGAAATCATCCTGCAGGGATATAGGCTGTCAAAGTTTAATCAACTTGAACGTTACAGGGAAAAGATCAGACTTTATTCAGGGGATGTTTTGGTAAAACATTAACTACATGTATTGAAAAAAAGTTGAGTTATAAAAACCACAATTCCCACATACCGTGATAATATCCACCTCCATTCGCACATTCCGATCATGTCTATTTTCACAGGTATTTGAAAAGGAAGAGTTATACAACCTAAGAGACAGGACAATTCGGGAAGGTTAGCGGGCAATCTCTTGTCCAAACAAGAAACGTGATAAGTACCGCGATAATAAGGCGTTCCATCCTACATGCTTACTGCCTCTGCCAGCATCCTACTGTCTGAAAAAACACCAAGGACATTTCACTAAATGTCCAGAACTCCAGGTATGGAATCTTTCCGGAGTATTTTTTAACCCTAACCCACCTCACTCCTCCAAAATCCTCCTGGCGGTTTTGGAGGATTCTAGAGGACTGAGGATGAATGGTGATTGAATCAAATGAGGATTCTGGAGGATAGAGGATGAATGGTGATTGAAGCATAGAAGGATTCTGGAGGATTGAGGATGAATGGTGATTGAATCAAATGAGGATTCTAGAGGATTGAGGATGAATGGTGATTGAATCAAATGAGGATTCTGGAGGATTGAGGATGAATGGTGATTGAAGCACATGAGGATTTTGGAGGAAGTTCCTCCATGAGGGTGAATGCATTTTGTGGCAGGACTGTCTGATGATTTTGAAGGATTTGGCGTTGGTTATCCTTCATTTAAACACGAGTGCAAAATTTTGGGATGAGGAGGATTTTGGAGGATAGACGATGAATGCATTTTGAGGCAGGACTGTCTGACAATTTTGAAAAATTTAGGTGGAGTTGCAAAATTTTGGAGGATTGAGGATGGTTCTGAGCAAAAAGGGCCTAGGGGGTTATTAAGGGAATAAATGTGTGCTCCGGAGGTTTTTATCACTCGTTTAATACCGCTTAGAGTCTGGGTGCTGATAATTACCCGAGCCGGAGGCGAGGGTAATTATCAACACCCAGACTCTAAGCGGTATTAAACGAGTGATAAATACCGACCGAGCACATATTTATTCCCATTCATAAATACCTTATCCGTAAAAAAATTCAAATAATTCGTTCAAAAAATCCCGATTTTGTTCAACAAGTTCACTTCATGCTTTTTGAAACATCCCTCTAGCAAAATAATGGAGTGTTCAGCTGGCGAGTAAGATGTAAACAACCCTTTTATGGAGATTGACGCGCGCGTAACATGTTCTGCGCGATGTCACGCAGAACGCACCTGGGGCGTTGCGTTTTGAATTTAGAACTATAAAATTCTGACTCGCTTGTAGTGTTGCGCATGCCTACGTGAGGATTGTGAACGTTCAACCAATGAAACGGTAAGAGGCACTGGATTTTTAGGAGTCCACATTTTATTGTGACACTGGAAAAGTGTTTAAGACCAGCTAGCCATGTCTTTATCATCCGTTTAATACCGGCCGCGTGACGGGCTCTCGACCAATAGGAATAGCTAAACTGTCTGAGGTATTTATGAATAATGCTTTAATTGCATACATTGTTAGACTTTCTTTTTATAGCTCCATGATTGTATAGTCATTCTTCCAGAACTGTAAGTGTAAGAGTTTTAAACTAAGTTCAGGAAGTATGGTCAGGCCCTACAGGCCCCATTTTTATCTTTTGTAAATTTGTCATTTTTTTGGGAAATTGCTTCTCAAATTTCACAGTAATTATTGTCAACCAAATTCTTCAAACAATGCCCCTTCCAATAATAGCAGATGAAAACAATATTTGAACGAAACCTTATGAATTAGAAGGTTAAGATGTTAAAATAACTTGTTTTCCTTTGTTTCGTGAAGTTGACAGAGTTTGAAGGTTCTACCAAGGATGTCAACTGTGGAGCACATACAGGATGCAGAGCACACTGATGACGTATCACCATGGCAACGCGTACCGCTCAACATCACTTGAATGAGATTGTACCTGACACCGTTAATTGTAAAGAGCGCCACCTGTTGTTTGGTTATCGATCAAGATTATGCAGCAGATAATGCAGCGGTAGGCTATATAGGCCTGTACGTCAGGTAAGTCTGGACTATTTATTTCTCAAAATTCAACTTCCTTTCGGCGTACTGGAAAGATTCCCATATATCTGGACATCACTAATATTTCCCTACAGTGACCTATGCCACCATTTAAAGGGATAATATGTCCAAAATGTCGGATTTAGCAGGGAAAAGTTGCTACCATGGCATGCCTACTGAGAAAACATGTCAAAGGACATTTCCTAGTCTTTGTTGGTCAGTGACGTCTGAGGTATGGGTGTCTTTCCAGAGTATATTTGAATGCTTTGCATACATTGTTGGGTAAGACCTCTTTTTATAGCTCCATGATTGTATAGTCATATAGTCAGCAGGGCCAGGGCCTATTGTTTTTAGTTCACCGCACCTACCCCAATTAAGAACCCAGTATCAATGCACACATATAGTGGTGTTCCCTAACGTGGCGCACTGCGACGTTTCTCCTGACTTTCCTCATGCACGGTTGCCAAACTTCTTTGTTGATAAACTTCGAATTCATTCAGTTATTACTGGTACTTTTTCAGTAGTGTTTGCCATTTAACTTCTGTAAACAATTTCACTGTCATACAATTTTGAGCAAAATTTTAAAACGGTGGCGTCCGGAAATTGGGCCAAAAATCAGCTGATCAGTGTTCCCTAACACAGCGCACTTGCGTAAATCTTGGAAAATTCCAGGTTAACACTAAAAAAGTTATTTAAAGTTAACAAATTCTAATTAATAAATATCATTTATGTCTACATTAGCCAACTAGAAGAATGTCAGAAAATTATTTTCTTATTTTTGGGTGAGTATATCAGTGGTGAGTTGAAGGTAAACTGTTTCCCGATGATAATTTGAGTTAGAAATATGATTTGGGTTTGTAACTTCAGGGGTTGCCCTTCAGGAAAATCAAGTTTGGATTGATTTGGGGGTCAAAAGGTCAAAGGTCAACATCATTGGTCAAGGTCTAGGTCATTCATTGACCAGTATTAACTATTCTACTACATGTAATTTTGCACCTTATATCAACTCAGGCCGAGGGGTTTCAACAGCACCGCTGTATTTGTTGCAGTGAATGTTTATTGATTCATTTTATTTCATCAACAGCTTTGAAAATGGAGTTGAGGCCAGACAGACAGGGGGCATAGGACTGCATATTTGCTCTCAGGTCATTTTATCTAATGCATTTAATGTTAGACACTATTCGTTTTTGAACTTTACTCCAAAAACCTGAAAATATTTATTGCCAATCACCCTCTATTATTCAGGACCAATTTTTTTTGGAATTATTCTTGACCATTCTCTTTATTTGGTGAACAATTGTGACCATCGTCTGACTAGAGGCGTTTGCATGTTGATATTAGTGCTCAGGCATCAAATTACGTCAGGAATCGACCACTAGTCTTGCCCCAACTTGCTCATAGTTGTTTCTGTGGCATGGTTTAGCTGTATTTGTCCTTTTTGGGGGAAAAAAAGTAGTGCAGGTGGGAAAATTATCAGAAAAACCAAGATGACATTTTTGTGTGTTTACGTTTCTAGAGTTACTTCTACAACGACGATATATTCAACTACAACTATGCGCAGGCCAAAGCCACAGCAGGCAACTACAAGGAAGCAGAGGAGGTAGGTTGGACTCCCGGACCCAATTTTTGTTGTTGCACCCTCAATAGTTGGCCAGTCATGGCGCAGTGACTCGTCATGGTGCCTGAACTAGTCATGGTGCCTTTCATTTGCAAACATCAAAAACCAAAACTACCAAGTTATTATGAAATACCTGACTGTTAGGGAGTAATAGTCTCAAGCATCCTGTGAAATCACGGCACCTGGTGTGCTGTCATTTCTAAGAAAAGTGGAATTTTGTATCAATTTCTGCTGATGGTCGGCCCTGTTTGAGAGAGAAGCTCGACTTTCTGTCTGTTCTCATCCATATGCTGTTGCCGTATACCTAGATGTAGAACAAAAGGATATTGCAATAGCTTATTTTCCCATGTGCTGCATCTCTTTGGAATTCCTTGCCTGGTGCTTATTTCCCTCCAACCTATGATCTGTCCTGATTCAAGAGGAGTGTGGAGTGCTGTGGCCTCGTGGTTAAGGGCGTTGGATTCGTGGTCTGCGGGTAAAGCTGGAGGTTGTGGGTTCAAGTCCAGCCTGGGGTCATGGTGCGTGTGCCCTTGGGCAAGGCACTTTGTCACTCATTGCTTCTCCTCACCCAGGAGTAATAGGCTATCAGCTTTGGTCCAAAAATTGGGCCACCGGTACCAGACGATTGAAAAGAGCAATGCTCATAGCGATTTTTTGAAAGGCACATCTAGAGTTGGAGAATGTGTGATAGCTTTGCAGTGTGAGTGGTGGCAGTGTTATCACTTTTGATTTTTGTTTTCAAAATTGCCGTCAATATGCTTGAACCGGATCAATTGTATGTTGTAACAAGCATGTTTTGGCTGCCATTTAAAAAAAAGAAAACAAGTGATAGCACCCAAAAAGCTGCCACCGCTGCAATGCTGTCACATATTTTCTGACTAGAGGGGTGCATACCTTGCCAAAAATCACAATGAGCATTATTCCCCTCATTTGATACTGACCAAACCCCCACACTGATGGCTTATAAGTGGGTGCCTATGAGGGCAGAGATGGTGTGGTTGATTTAGCTGCTTTGCTCCGACTTGTAGCCCTGTATATCTGGAGTGGCTTTTAGCCTTGTTCAGGGTGAATAGGCATAAAAAAACAAGTCTAAAACCCGGATGGGGATCTTTCTGTGACTCCTAGTCCACTGTTTTGGTGGGACACTTGGTTTTACCATGATTTAATTGGAGTGGGTTTCGTTTCTCTTGTTTTTCCAGATTTTTGTGCTCATTCAGAGTGAGAAGATCAAGAATGACTACACGTGTCTCTGGTTGGCAAGATGCTGTGAGTATTACCGTCAATTGTGAATGACGTTTCCTTTTCCAACTTCCAAGTTGCTAATTATGGGAATGAATCCACCTGTTAAGCCTCAACTCATGATGTATTGACCACTCACAATTGTGACTGCACAACCAAATGTCCAACTAAAATCACGACATGTTGCGTGCATGCATTTCATGTACTGCTGGAAAATCCAGAGTGGCATTAGGGAGATGCACATGTTGCCCATGTGTGAGGTAGACTGAAGGGTCTCTAACAATGACATAACCAGCATGCAATCATCGCCCTGATCGTATATTAAGGATGTGACTTTGCGTTTCATTTTGTAAACGTTAAGCAAATATTTTCAGAACTGTTTTAAACGTTTAGCCATTGACAGTGGCTTTTGCCTACCCATTATGTCTGATCTGCAGACCAGCGTGATTGACATGATAAATCAACAATGGTTGACATAGTAAATAGCGGGCAGTCGTTGATAAAGTAAAAATGTTCTACGTGTTCCCCAAATGTAATCAAGTACTACGGTGCTTCTAAGGTTTTGTAAATTAAGTAGGTTTGAAAACAACGTTAGTTATTTGTACTATGTGTGGATATCTCCAAGGAAGATCGCGTGAACGGAGGTCCCTTTTCTTAATTCTGGTTTTGTTTACATGTTTTGAGAAATTTGTAAACGGAGTTAAAAGTTTTTTTGTTTAAACGTGTAAACTTCACATCTTAGTCGTACATTTGCCATGTTGGATTTGTTCTATCACATTTCAAGCAGATTGTACGACAGAAATTTGCTACATTGAACATCCCTCTTGGCTCCCAAATATTGTACACAGTTACACTGAGCATTGCTGGCCAAAAATTGCTGAAACGAGCATCCACTGAACCGAACCATCTTTTGTAGACCCGATGTGTTTTCTTACAGCAGTATCCTATGTATTTATAACCTTTCTTTGTGTGTTTTCGTTGTTCAGACATCGTGAATCCTAAGGCCAGACTAGCCTGGGAGTTGTACCTTAAGATGGAGACGTCTGGCGAATCGTTCAGCCTGCTGTAGCTCATTGCCAACGACGGCTTCAAGGTAAAACATCATCCCCTAATTTTGTATGTTTGGTCAAGATTTTGGCATTAGCCCCAAATTAGTATCCAGTCACTCAATCTCAACCTGCAGCCGATTTCACAAAACACATTTGTCACTCCGTCAAAACCCAAATCGTAGAGGAAATGTCAATCTAAATATAACACACTTGTAAAAAAGAATGCACATATCCAGACGCCACTTCAGCCGTTGTGTACAAAGTCTATGGCGAGTCAAGAAAACTTTCCAAGTATTTCTGAACAAAATTGGAAATGTTTCTGCAGATTCGTGTTTGTGAAAAATTTTTGCAATGACTGATCTTTATTGAGATGATGTGTGAAGACAAAAGTGGCGTCTGATTGCAACATTGTTTTCACGTGTAAAATCAACGAGAATACAAATCCCCGTCAAAAAGAAAAAAAATGATTCGTTGCACATTTACTACTTTGTGTCATTAGCTTGAATTATGAAGGATGCACTTTTGTGTCGCAAACTTTAGTAAGCATGTAGAGGGCATCATAAAATATTAGAATAGCCAAAAATCCCAACTGCTTAAAAAAAATTGATTTGGGACAAATTCATCACTTTGTCAACACGGTGGCGATATGATCGAAAACTACAGGCTTTTCGTTCGAACTTCTGATGTTTTTTGCTCGACCTCAACATATAATTGTCACGGTCTCTCGATCCTCAAATCTCATCTTTTCTATCGGTAGATGGCCAGTTCTACTATGCGACCAAGGCTTTCGATGTCCTGGAAAGATTGGACCCCAATCCTGAATACTGGGAAGGCAAGCGAGGGGCGTGCGACTGGGCGTATTCCAGCAGATCATAGCTGGTCATGAACCAAGGTGGGTGTCATCTCTGTCAATCAGCAGTGCACACTGACCAATCAGATCTCAACCTTTGGTCAGGTGACCACATACATCGATCAAACAGTGCGTACTGACCAATTACATCTCAATTAGTATATCACTCCGGTGCTCTACCAACTGAGCTATCCAGCCCAATGTTGGCGGTTCCCTAATTGTCAATGTCTCTGTCAAAGGGGCGCTAGTCAGAAGCCCTCAACCCGCATATGCCATGCAGCCAGGGATCACGCCCAAAGTCACGATGCAGACCTGGCAAATATCAAGCGGGGATCACTCAGAGAGGATACGGCTTTTTATTACAAATTTTCATGAATACTTTTCAACTTCTTAGCCCTCTAGTTCAACTTCATTGATCTCTATGGATTTTTCCATTGTCCCCATATTCTATAAACAGCTTTCAGTTTCACTATTAGGTTTTGCCCTTCACTGACGTAAAAACACTGCTTACTCAGTTTGTTACCTCCCGAGTGAAAGTTGGAATAAATCACTCGGTTGGGACTCGAACCTATGACCTCCTGCTTTCTAGTGCAGACATCTTACCACTGGACCACCGAGCTTACAGAATTGGTTGCCTGGCCAGCCAACCAACCCCGTAAGCTCGATGGTCGAGTCGTGGGTTCGAATCCCACCCAAGTGATTATTTTTCCAACTTTCACTCGGGAGGTAACACACTGAGTATACAGTGTTTATACATCGGTGAAGGGCAAAACCTAACATTGATTTACATCACCCCGACGCAAAATCCATGTTAATAGCTTTCATTTTCATGTGCACAAAACCCAGTGAAGTTCAAGCCACTAGATTTTTGTCATTTTTTTTCCTCTACAGAGAAACACTGCGAGACATCCTCCAAATCTTGCGCAACACCGGTTACCCACAGGTGGAATACATCATCCGTGTCATGAAGAAGTGGGCCAAGGACAACAGGGTACCAGTTTCCTGAGGTGGTCCCTATCCTAGTCTTGAGATTGTTTAAATTTGTACATTCCAAAAACCCTTGCTTGCAAAGGGATTTTCCAAAAATAAAATAATGGAACGATACTGTTGATTAGGGGTGATTTAATTATTCTTGACGCATGGGAAATTTGCCTTGAAATATTTCTCTGTTTAGCTTTGGCAAGATAGTTATGCAGGAGAAAAAAACAACAGTTCTGGAGAGAGGCTGGTTTCTCATGGCATAAACAAAGTAGGCTTGCCTAGTTAAGCTGGACTCTGTGACTCAGTCAGTGACTTGGTCAGTGACTCAGTCAACAACTCAGTGACTCATTCAGCGACTCCATGATTCAGTCAGATTCAGTCAGTGACTCAGTCAGTGACTCGTCAGTGATTTGGTCAGTGACTCGGTTAGTGAATGACTCAGTGACTCATTGAGCGACTCAGTGGCTGTCATCTACTCAGTGACTTGGTCAGTGACTCAGTAAGTGACTCGGTCAGTGACTCTCTCAGTGACTCGGTCAGTCAGTGGCTCATTCAGTAACTCAATGACTCGGTCAGTCAGTACGTGACTAATAGTGACTGACTCGATACTCAGATGACTCAGTCAGACAGTTGAAGTCAGGTAGCATTGAAATGTTCATATCATAATTATAAAGGTTCTCGTCATAAATGTTGCTTAGGACAACTCTGCAAGTTTGTTTTCTTGGAGTTTCTGGGGCCTGTTTAGAGACAAGCCAACGGCATGAGAATGGGCCAGGAATGGTTATTCAAGGAGGGGGGTAGTCATCTGTACGTAATGTAATTATACTAATTAATGGTTTATATTGATATAAATATACATGTACAAGTTTTCAGATCACGTTTGTCAGGTAATTAGGGTGTAAGGTCCAGAAGGCATGAAACAAATTGAAGATGAGTGATTTGAACTGAGCCCAATTTCATAGCGCTGCTAAGCACACAATTTCTGCCACACTCTAAAAAAGCATTAGTCAGATTTGACTAGAAACCAGTCAAATTTGACTAGCCATTCAGGGTCAGCTGGGTGCAACTGAAAATCAGTCAATCTGACTAGATTTTTCCAGTCAGTATTATTGACTTTGGAAAAGTAGTTATGCAAATAACTGAAATTGGAGTCGAACCCAACTACGTTTCTAGTCATAGTATTGAACTTTGCATGTTTAACTAAATTCCTATTCAATTTCCAATAACTGGGAAAACTAGTCAATATTTTGACTAAGTTGTTTTTAGAGTGCAGCAGGAGCCTCTCCGTCTATCTATCACATTGTCAATACTATATTTTTTTCATGTACAATATTGGGACAGAATGTTGCAACCTGATGCTGCTTTTTCTTCATTTCATCTCAATAAGGTCATTCATTTCAAAAATGATGATAAGACATGAATCTGGGACTGGGAAATACTTAAGAGAAAAATTTCTTGACGCTCCATAGACTTTGCACACAACCGCTGAAGTGGCGTCAGGTTGCAACATTCTTTTCCAATATTGTGTGATATTCTGACTTCATTTCTTTATTTCATCTGTAAAAACATTAAATGTTTACTGCCTTTCTTTAAAGGGAAGATACAAGATTTGCAAACATCACAAAACGAAATGATCAAAATATCGCGAAATACCTTACTGGATTGTTGGGGAATGACAGTCTAAAGCATCCTGTGAAATCGTGGCTCCTGATGTGCTGACATTTTTAAGAAAAATTGTACTTTTCCAACGCTGGTCGGCCGACCAGCATTGGAGAAAACTGGCTATTTTTCAAAAATTGCTCCGAATTTTTCATAATTAGTTATTCCGCATTTTCTTTGCAATTGATTACACACCTGTGAAGAGGTACAAGTCTGCTAGACTGATTCTCTGACCTTACAATTCCCCAAAGTCTATTAATTGCTCCGTTTTATCTTATAAGTGGGGTCACCAGACTGCAAATACATGTCTGGTTTTCTTGGCTTTTCCAGCATCTACAAGCCCAAATGCGAAAAAAGTCATTTTAACAATATTTGCTATAACATACTAATCCTCCAAATCCATTTATTTCTGAAAATTGCAGCAAAAGCAAATGTTGTACATTCCCTTCAAGTCCGATAAATCTTATCTTGCAGTGTAAATATTGTGTAGGTGAATTTTAAAAGTAAATGTTACTTTAAGGATTGTTGAAATGCTGTGCATAGTTCTTTGAATAAAGAGATATTAAATCATCACAATAAATAAAAGTGAAAAAAATACCTGTTTGTTATTGATTTGTTTGTTTTCTTGGTAGTTTGTTTGGGATTCCTGAAAACAAAACTTAATTCAATTTATTTAAAAGATAAGTTTAGTAAATTTATGTTTGGGCATAGGGCTATAAAAAGTTGGGAAGGTAAAAAAAAAAAAGAATAATATAATTTCAATTTGAAAAAAAGTAATATAATTTCAATTTGTTTAAAAGTAAGCTCAGTCAATTCATTTTTGGGAAAGAAAAAAAAGGGAAGACAATTGAACAACAATACTATGGTGGGACTCGAACCTGAGTCGCCAGATTGGGAGTCCTACGCCGGTCCAGCAGACCATTGTCGCACTTAAACAAAGCTACAGTTCTGCTTTATCATAACCGTAAGATAGGCTTATCGTGGCTTTTCAACGTTGACGCCCATGCACGCTTAGACGTAAAACACAGTCTGACGATGTAAAACATTCGTTAGATTTTGGGTGTAGCTGTTCTAATTGATCCAAATTTAATTGGAAAAGGGTAAAGGGTGTCAACTGAACTAAAATTGTGAACTTCAATGAAATAAAATTCGTACAATCCTTGGTTTCAGTACGAAACACACGTGTTCAACGGATGCAGAGAAGCCTATTTCTTTTGTTAAATTCCTTTGTTGGATCTGGCGTTAACAATAAAATGTTTCCATTGAGGGAAAAGGATTAAACGCCGCGATCTTTTTTCACGCTTGAGTGCCTCTGAATGGGGAATATTGAAGCGGAAAATCACGATTTACTGCACTTAGGCAGCATTTTATACCCACATTATGATACTTTTTGAAGAGGAAATTGCATACTGAATACATCTATAGTTTCAAAATTCAAAAATTCGCCGTATTTAAAAAGTCGAGGAAATTTTTTTGGAAAAATTTCACCAAAACTTTCCTCATCCTATCGTAGGCGGCGCTATATATATATTTCATTCTCAGTGCACGCATTGTTAGCGCGATAGCCGCCGCCCGATCTGTGTATCACCCGTTTACCCAATCTTATTTTAGCATCACAATTTCAATTTTTCTCACGAATAAAAGTTGAATAGGTCTACAACTAAAACAATAGATAATTAAGGTCAGTGAAAAAAATGCAATCCGAATAAAAGTCAACTTTAATGGAACAAAAGAGACGCGTATAAGGATATTAATAAAAGGGCCCCGGTATACACATGAACAAGAGGGAGGCGGGAATTTTTTTTTTTTGTCGTGTGAGATGGGGAGGGGGGGGGGACAAACAAAATATATTTATTAAAAGTCGTAAGTGGAGAAATGTTTTTTACAAAAGGGCTATAAACTGTACATGTATACAAAACAGGCAGCCAGCCCCGCCCCCCATCCCCTTGCAATGCCATACACACACGCTAATGCGCTAGCCAACTCTGAATACGGTGCACGTGCGAGAATGAAATATGTATAGCGCCGCCTACGTTAGGATGAGGAAAGTTTTGGTGAAATTTTTCCAAAAAAATTACCTCGACTTTTTAAATACGGCGAATTTTTGAATTTTGAAACTATAGTTATATTCAGTATGCAATTTCCTCTTCAAAAAGTATCATTATGTGGGATAAAATGCTGCCTAAGTGCTGTAATTCGTGATTTTCCGCTTCAATATTCCCCATTCAGAGACACTCAAGCGTGAAAAAAGATCGCGGCGTTTAATCCTTTCGCCACAATGGAAACATTTTATTGTTAACGCCAGATTCAACAAAGGAATTTAACAAAGGAAATGGGCTTCTCTGCATCCGTTGAGCACGTGTGTTTCGTACTGAAACCAAGGATAGTCGAGTTTTATTCCATGGAATTTCTGAATTTCAGTTCAGTTGACACCCTTTATCCTTTTCCAAATAAATTTAGATCAACTTGAACAGCTAAACCCAAAATCAAACGAGTGATTTACGTTGTCAGACTGTGTTTGACGTCTAAGCGTGCATGGGCGTGTACGTGAAAAGCCGCGATAAGTCTATCTTACAGTTATAATTAAAAAGAACTTATAATGCATTTGAGCGCGTTAATAGTCTGCTGGACCGGCGTAAGACTCCCAATCTGGCGACTCGGGCTCGAATCCCACCATGATTATATTATTACTTATTTTTCTTCTTTTTTTCTTTACCCAAAAATAAATTTGGTGAACTTATCTTTTAAAAAAAAATGAAGTTTTGTTTTCAGAATATAATACTTCAAAAATATAAACACTAAAATTGTATGTTATATTCTTCTCTCTCTCTTTTTTTTTTAATATTATTTAATCCTCCATCCATGATGGGATCAAGAAATTGAAAACTATAGAAGAGACAAGTTTGGATTTTTTTTCTGAAAATGATTTTCATTTTAATTCTTTCAACAGCGTTTAACACTTTACACGTATATGGAACTTAACACATAGTTGTCACTGACTGTGTTATTATTGAAATAGTTGAAGAGCATTTTATTGCAAAAATGAAACATATTTTAAGGGTGGATATAACGTTTGCAAGCATAAAAAAACGACATGGTCAAATTTTCACGAAATACTTCACTGGATTGTTAGGGAATGACAGTCTAAAGCTTAGCATCCTGTAAATCATGGCTCCTGGTGTGCTGACATTTTTCAAGAAAAAGTGTATTTTTCCAAAACTGGTTAGCCAACCAGCATTGGGAAAAAAGTGGCTTAAAAACAGTTCCTAATTTTTCATGTTTAGTTAATTCGCGTTATCGTTGCAATTGAATTACACAATGGTGAAAGGGTACAAGCCTTCTAGACTTATTCTCTGACCTTACAATTCCCCAAAGTCTACCTATTGCTCTGCTTCATCTTAAGTGGTTCAGGGAACCAGACTTACATGAACATGATTGGTTTTCTTGGTTTTCCAGCATATACAAGCCCAAAACGTGAAACAAGTCAGTTGAACAATATTTGCTATAACATAATAATCCTCCAAATCCATTTATTTTTGAAAATTGCA